ATAACTCAGGTGGATGTCTATATACCTTAACTAGGGTTCCATGTGAGTACAACTCAGGTGGGTGTCTATATACCTTAACTAGGGTTCCATGTGAGTACAACTCAGGTGGGTGTCTATATACCTTAACTAGGGTTCCATGTGAGTACAACTCAGGTGGGTGTCTATATACCTTAACTAGGGGGTTCCATGTGAGTACAACTCAGATGGGTGTCTATATACCTTAACTTGGGGGAGGGGGTTCCATGTGAGTACAACTCAGATGGTTGTCTATATACCTTAACTAGGGTTCCATGTGAGTACAACTCAGGTGGGTGTCTATATACCTTAACTAGGGGTTCCATGTGAGTATAACTCAGGTGGGTGTCTATATACCTTAACATGGGTTCCATGTGAGTACAACTCAGGTGGGTATCTATATATTTTAACTTATTTAGGAAAAATAACAACTTGTTTGTAGAACTTTTTTACTTATGTTTCCACTGGTTTGATACTGGCTGTACACTTGTAACGGCTCTCGAGGTGGTCGGGAAACGCTTACACCTATCGAGGGGTGGGGGGCTCTTCCAGCTATCTAGGATGCATGGGAACTCTTCCAACTAAAATGTCGAATGTCTGGTACTTGTAATTCTTTCTAAAAGTTAGCCTATGCAGCTGGTCAGGCTGATTGGCCGGAAACTTTCTGGATTACCTTCTTATAGCAACATAAGAACATTCGCATGCTTCAAGAGGCTGGGATATAACCCGAGTTTAGGGATAGGTTAAATAGTGTTGTTAAATGATAAGAAAATCTCTGCCTGTTTTGAGAAGGATGGCTAGTATTCCATCTTCTCCTGAAGCTTTTTTTATGGACGTGATGACATCTGTTTTAGTAATGGGACTTGTAACTTTGTTTTTCCGTCTTCTCCTGAAGCTTTGTTTTATGGACGTGATGACATCTGTTTTAGTAATGGGACTTGTAACTTTGTTTTCCGTCTTCTCCTGAAGTATTGTTTTATGGACCTGATGACATCTGTTTTAGTAATGGGACTTGTAACTTTGTTTTCCGTCTTCTCCTGAAGCTTTGTTTTATGGACCTGATGACATCTGTTTTAGTAATGGGACTTGTAACTTTGTTTTCCATCTTCTCGGAAGCTTTGTTTTATGAACGTGATGACATCTGTTTTATGTGTGGTTCGTCATGTGTTTTATTAGCTTTTTTCAATTGGCCCTTTTAATGCGTTTTCATGTGTTTGTGTATTTTTCCATGCTTGACTGTGTTTTCTGTTTTAACTGTTTGTGTATCGTGTTAGATGCGACCAGAAGTGCTTAGGGTCGTTATATTCATTGAGTTGCGAGCAGAAGAAGACCCAATTGTCTTCTTTCAGCGGTTTTATTTCATTCCTAAAGGAGACCCACCTGACTTATTTCCGTTGTTTTATTTCAATCCTTAAGGAGACCCACCTGACTTCTTTCAGCGGTTTTATTTCATTCTTAAAGGAAACCCATCTGACTTTTTTCAGCGGTTTTTATTTCATTACTTAAGTAGACCCAGCGATATTTCGTTACGTATCGTGTGCGTTAACGAAGATTCTTCTGAGGTTCTTTTATCATGTTTATTATTTATGTTTGTTCCTGCCATGTGTTATAGATGGTATGTTGTTTGTGTTTAGGGATAGTCAGACTGTTATTGAAGAGCCATAAAAACCAGCTGTTGTAAGACATTTATTGTTTGTTAGATGAACATCAACTGTTATTGAAGAGCCATAGAAGCCAGCTGTTGTAAGACATTTATTGTTTGTTAGATGAACATCAACTATCATATAGTAGTTTACTGTATCGACTGTTAAGTGAGTAACAGATAGAGAGGATTTATATACTTGGGCTATACCTCGATTTGTTCGATCTGTCAGCTGAGTGTCCATAGATATTAAATTTATTAAAGTTGTGTAGCATGGTTTCTCCAATGACCATTCTTTCTGTGCTTGTATGTCTGATTATGTCTTCGAACTCGTGCCATGCCATGGATACTGACGTGTGGTACCGTGAATATAAGTGCCATGAGTGACTGTATTATGTACAGAGTCACTGAAACAACTAATAAAGTTTGTTTGTTTCAATAATAGGATTGGTAATCACATAATAACGGCTGCACGACTGAAAGGACGGGGGAGAGGGTTTGAATCCTTCATCTTCAGATTGCGAGTTGAGTTACCTAACCACTAGGCCATGCTAAGTCCATCTAATAAAAAGTATATTTTTCATTGTGCTTAAAACGTCAATTTTGTTTCTTACCCTTATTATACAGTATCACAAGATGTCTGAAAAAAATCACATGTGACCTGGTTTTACAGTTAATCATTGGGTTCTAGGATTTTGAAAGCAGCGTTTAATTTTACACATACTAATGATAATAAGTATTATAGATTTTTACAAAATTAAAGAAAGTTCACGACTAGAGATTCTTGCAAAGTGTAATCGTAATAAACTGATAAAGCGTTCTAAACGGTTGAACATCTTGCTTGTCGTTCCAAGTAAAACAAATCAGCTGAAGTTGAAAAACCAAAGCACTCGTTTCGTCATTTTTCACAAGAAAATCGAAACATTTAACCACTTTCTTTGCGTAGACGATGGACAAGTGAAACTCGGTGATGTCAGTAGATAGGTGATGTCAGTAGATAGGTGATGTCAGTAGATAGGTGATGTTAGTAGATAGATGATGTCAGTAGATAGGTGATGTTAGTAGATAGATGATGTCAGTAGATAGGTGATGTCAGTAGATAGGTGATGTCAGTAGATAGGTGATGTTAGTAGATAGATGATGTCAGTAGATAGGTGATGTCAGTAGATAGGTGATGTCAGTAGATAGGTAATGTCAGTAGATAGATGATGTCAGTAGATAGGTGATGTTAGTAGATAGATGATGTCAGTAGATAGGTGATGTCAGTAGATAGGTAATTCACAGCATATCTAAAGAAGATATGTTGTAACAGGTATTCTTGGAATAAACTTAAATTTATAACATTTATAAACGACTCAGACAAATTGAAATTTGTAAATGACATAATACGTCTTGTCTTTCATCAATTCAGGGCACTATTTTTCGAAATAAATAAATAAAATATTTGATTCTTTCAGAACTGAAAAACACTCTGGAGACGCAGGTGAGTGAGCTTAAGTCCACCATCGAAGGCAAGTGTGTGCTCCAGTAAAGATGACCACGAACTATGCAATGTCCGACTGTTCTGTTGATGCCTGTAGTGCTGCATGCAAGTCAACCACCGTAGCTTCTGCCTTGTCACACAGTCCAAGCCTTTTGGACAGGGCTAGCTACTGTACCCGTTCCGTTAGCAGCTTCTCATTAAGCGAAATTTTAGTTTCTTCGTCTTGAAAATAAATGATGATCTTTTGTTTAACAACCGTCGTTAGGTAACGTTAAGCACAAAAAAAAATCTGGAAGAAAATAATGAAATTTTGGTGTTTTATAATGTGACTTAACACCCACCGTCAATGGGTCCTGGTTATGTTTAGTTTTAATGGTCGATTTGAAATGTTATTATTTCTGGTACCTTTTCTCAATTTTTTTAAACAACGATAAGTTTATTATTGCTCATTTGTAATTTAACAAACAGAGTTACCAAGTTAATACCGTTGCAATGCGACTTAGCTAATCTGGAACAAATTCAAAAATGGTCAGTAGCTGGCCCGCCCAATCCGCCATCTCGTGGCCATGTGGATCATTAAGCTCTCAGCGAGAGGAGGCTCGATTAGAGGGCTACCCAAACAACGAATTTTTCTAGTTTTGATTTAAAAACTGCGAGCACTTACATCATATGACTGCAGAAAAATTAGTGCTACTCTTGTCAAACATTTCAAGAATTATTATAGGACTCTCCGGTCACCTGGTGTCAAGTTCGAGAAGCTAGCACGTCTGTACTTCATGCAACAATAGGACAGGACAATGAGGTCATGGTTAATTTTGCGAATGAAAAATGGCTTCTGAGAGATACAAAGGAATCTTTATGTATTCATTCATGCTTAATTTTACGTTGTTTGGTGGTGAATAATGCTTCAAAGACGACAAATAGTGGTGAAAGCATAACATCCACGATATACACATACACAACAAGCATAATTTCTCCAATATGATTTTCTGTTCTTAGAAAATATTTCATAGATAATTTTTTGTATCATAATTTGGATACTTTATCGATTCGACGTTAGAGGACGCTGCTGGTGATGTGGAAATTGAATTATACAGCTTTGATAGGAACGAAATTAACCGAAATGGCTTCATTACTTTTCCCATGTTTAACATTTCGTATTTAATTAATTTGTACTTGTTCCCATGTTTTATTCCCATCTTTCATTTCAACATAAGTTGTAGTTATAGACAATAATCCAGCAAGGTATATGACAGGTTTAAGTCTTCACATGTAACAGACTTATTAACTTACATAGTATACAGTTTTATCTTTGGTTTATGACAGGTTTAAGTCCTCACATTTAACACACTTATTAACTTACATAGTATACAGTTTTTCTTTGGTTTATGACAGGTTTAAGTCCTCACATGTAACACACTTATTAACTTACATAGTATACAGTTTTTCTTTGGTTTATGACAGGTTTAAGTCCTCACATGTAACACA